CCTCACCCTCACCGTCATTATTGTTTTATTCATTCCACTCAGTCATTGAGCTTTTCCTATCACTTCTTCTTTTCTGAAAGTTTCTGAGTAGTTGAACATTTATACTTATGACTTCCTCTATACTGTGTGAGTGTGTGTGTGCGTGTGTGTATGTGTGTGTGTGTGTGTGTCCCCTCTGGTGCTCTCAGAAAACGTTCATGTAAAATAATGTTTGGCCTTATAAAGCAGGACCTTTTTGGAAGCACTTCTGTATTTGAAAGTCAGAATCTCAACACAGTGACTTTCCTTGTTCAGACCTATACCATTAGAGACCTGTTGTCTGACCCTCACTGAGAACCTCTTGTGAGCATCATCAATCTAGCAATGTCCGTACTAGATGCTCAGTTATAGAAAATCCACAGATAGCCTGTGATCAAGAATAGAAAAATGCCACTCCTAAACAAAGAAAGAAGAGACAGGAAGGGAAGAAGGAAGGCAGAAAAGGCTGTAGGGAGAGGAGAGGAGGGAGGGGAGGGAGAGAAGGAAAGAGAGAAAGGAAGGAAGGAAGATTCAGAGTTATCATATTAAATTTGGTCATTAGTTGGAATACTTGAGGTTTGGTTAAACTCAGCTGAAATAATTCTCTTGTCTCCACAGCTGTCCTCCCAACACTTCTGATTTTCCATCAGTGCTCCCATAATTATTCAGACAACAGCAGACTTCTGTGAACCCAGCATATGGCATTTCTTTTAACCTGAGTTTATAGAATTGCCAAGTTGGAAAAAAGAACAGCAATTTCACAAAGGTTAGGAAGATGAAATGCTGTCTCTATTCTCCCCCACCACCATTTATTTTCTACTTTAGAAACAGATTTTTAGGCCAGAGGTAGAATTGACACAATATAGGAAGATTTATCAACTTTTCATTACATTAGTCTTAACTTGATATGCCAACTATCTAGAATTCTAGCTTTTTTTTCTTAATGTGTGTTTTGTCTACATGTAGTAAGTGCAAAGCCTGCAAAGGCCAGAAGAAGGCATCACATCCCCTTGAAGAATCAGCTTTTAATGTCATTAACTTTTTTTGGATTTATTTATCTTTATGAGTGTCTTGCCTACATGTATGTAGTGCATCTATGTTGTGCAATACTGGCAGAGGCCAGAAGATGGCATCAGATCTCTTAGACGAGCAGTTACAGACAGTTGTTAGCCACCATGTGAGTGATGGGAACTGAACACAGGTCCTCTACAAGAATAGCCAGTGCTCCTAACCAGAGTCACCTTTCTAGTCCAGAGCCCCAACTCCTTCTTTCCTTCCTTCCTTCCTTCCTTCCTTCCTTCCTTCCTTCCTTCCTTCCTTCCTTCGTCTTTTTAAAATTATTTTTATTTTATATGTATGAGCGGTTTGTGTGTGTGTGTGTGTGTGTGTGTGTGTGTGTGTGTGCTTTACCTGCATGCATGTAAGTGCACCCATGTTATGCAAAGCCTACAGAGGCCAGAAGAGGGTGTTGGATCCCCTGAAACTGGAGTCACACTTACTGGCCACTATGTGGTTGCTGAGAATCAGACCCAGGGCTCCTGGAAGAGCAACCAGTGCTTCTAACCACTGAGCCATCTCTCCAGCTCACATGTATGTTTTGCCTATATGTATGTATGTCATGTGTATATATGTATATGTGTGTGATGTGTGTTTATGTGTGTTTAGTTGATTTCGAGTCATAAATTTTACACAGAACAGAGCATTTTATATTATATGGGACAAGGAAGGGTCTGCAATAGTATCTGAAGATTAAATGTATTTGTTTTGGTTTTCTAATCCCAAAAATCTACAAGAAAAAAGAAATAAACCAATTGTTTTATATTAAAAAATAAAAATAATAGAAAAAGTAATTATGAGGTGTTTGTATGTTTAGGCTTACAAAGCTGCACTTCAAATCCCAGAGGTTAATTTCTATGAAGAATTATATATATCTGAATTTTGAGATGATCCAGTATCATAGGACAATGTAACATTCTCCAAAACCATTTTCTTTAATCTCCTGTGTGTTCTTTTATAAGTAGATTGTTTGGTGTTTTCCGTTTGTGCTGATTTTGCGTGTGTTATAGAAATCTCATTGAGCCATATTTGCCTTGGGTATCAAATCAAAACAACTCCTTGACTGACCCTTTCTAACTGCTTTTGTAAATCCTTTTGATCCCTTCTCCCTACCAACTTCTGTGTTTACAAAGGATGGGGTTCATCAGTCCACCAACAAGCAGCTGCAGCTGCTGGTACTATCTGTGGCCACCCCAGGGTTTCAGACCCCAGGGTGTCAGCAGGGCAGTGCTGCCCACTGGTCCTTCCAGTCACAGTGCTTCCACTGCAATGCTGCTGTCTCCAGCAGCTGCTGATGACACCCAAGCACCCAGGACTTTGGGAAATTACTTTTCAGGGGGTTCTCCTTAGGATGAATTCTATTTTCTCCATGGGTGACAAGAGAAAGCCTTGCACAATCTCCTTGCTTCCATAGACTCCAATCCTTGACCTCAGATATGCTTCCATTTCAAGAGCTTTGTGCTTGGCACTCCTGCCTGGGTCTAACTCCAAGTTTGTTCTCTGGCCTCTATTGATTAAATATCATCTCCCCTCATTTTTCTTTTGTCCGCCAAGGCTGGACTCGAGAGTGATGGACTCAGGATTTGTTTTCAGGCACTTTGATAGCTGTTGGAGTGGCTAGAATCATTGTCAGTTCCCTCTCAAAGACTTCTAGATAGGGGGAGAAAATAAATTTAGCCATCATTTTAGAATAGTGGGTTGAACCCAATAGAGGGATGCTTTTGGAAGCTCTTGTCAAGAAATTCCAAAGGACTCTGATATGAACATTGGAAATTTGCCCTGTTCTAACTTTTTTCTGGTTCCCTGTCTAGAACTTGTATCACTAACTATTCTTGCCTTTACTTCTTCACATCTCCTAGGCACCAGTCAAGGACTTTCTTTTCTCCCTACAGATAAGAGTTATGCAATTTGGGAGTCTTTTAGATAGACCTACTGAAGGGGCATCCCAGTTGCCTCACCTTGTGTCCCTTTTCAGCATGAAAGAAGCGAGAGCAGTCTGCATCCTGATTCCCTATAGGCAATTTGGGTAACCTCTTCAGAGGGTGGTGTGATAAGAATAGGAGGTAGGAATTGGCTAGGCAGTTAGGATAAAAAGACCCAGTTTCTTGGTGAAAAGTAGGCAGTTTCTTGGCTAAAAGTCAAAATGTCCTTGGGCCTCTAAGCAACATACTCTCTTCCAAAGGCCAAAAATATCAAAAGTATTTGGGAGCTTTTATGTAATCCCTAAAAGATTTTAGGGTTACCTCTTCAGAGCAGGAAATGTTAGAGTAGCAAAAAGCCCCATATAAAGAAAGAAAGAAACAAGAGGGGCTGGAGAGATGGCTCAGTGGTTAAAAACACTGGCTATTCTTGCAGAAGACCCAGGTTCAAATCCCACCACCAACATGGTAGCTAACAACTGTCTGTAGCTCCAGTTCCAGGGGATCCGGCAATCTCTTCTGTCCTCTGCAGGTATTGCATAACACGGGTTCACTTACCTACATGCAGGCAATATACACATACACATAAAAATAATAAAATATAAGAAAAAAAGAAAGAAAGAAAGAAAGAAAGAA